TATGATTCTCTTGAACAAAATTATATGGATAAAAGCAGTTGTGAAGTATGTAAGAAGGAAAGAGATCTGGAGCATTGGTTTTACTACTGTCCAGCATGTGAATCCACGACTCACTTAAATTGTATCACAAATCAGTCAATCAGATCTTAACGCCATGGTTGAATCAATCAAGCATCAAAGGTGGCTCACAAATGAAGCAAAAAAGACTTCTTTTTTTTTAATTTCCACAGTTTGCAATTTAACCATGTATGATTGGTGGCTAATTTAAATAGCCAATGGCCAAATTTCTTCTTTCGTAGAGACTGCTTGTCAGGAAATGTGGTTTCAGTTTGATTCAAAATTTACTTTAATAAGCATACACTTCTTGGTTGATTTCAGCATGAAACTAGTGAATCAATCTAGACTTCCAAATTTTATGCCTTTTATTCTGTTGTTTAGGATGGCTGTTATAAATATGTTCTGACGGATAATTTTAAACATGATACGATAATATGATACAAAACAAGATAATAAAAGATACAAAATCGACAAAATTTAAAATTTTAGTAAAAATTATATATGGATTTGATTAAAATAAAAAAAATGTGTTATATTTAACATGTTGACACAAATTATGTCATACTAATTTTCGTATTTTATATATGTTAATCACGAAATAAAAAAACATGAATACATGAATCGTACTGTAGATTTGATTCACCAAACAATCCCATGAATGAAACGGGGCCTTCATCAAATATTCAATGAAAACATTAGACATTGAAAACATACTAATCATTTACTGAAGCACTTATCCACGGTTAATGGCATTGAGTTGAGTTAATCAAAATCAACGTCAAATGATTATATCAACTCAAGTTTGTTAAAATTATTACAGATTCTTGACATGTCATCAATTAAACCACAAATCATTGCTTTTGATAAATGAAAAGGATATCAATATCAACTTAAATCAATTAATTTTAGTATGTAATCATTTATTATACTTGAAGCATGCAATTATGAATTTATGATAAAACAATGTAAAGATTCCATTTTTTGAATCATTATTAATCATATATATTACCAACAATTGAGCATTAGCATAATATACATATTAAACAAATTTTTTAAAATTACATATTCAAGAATACTTAAGCACAAATATACATGTATATATAGTACCATTGCCAATTTTAGGAAGCTAATAGTGACATCGGGAGAAGTTCACCTGTTAAAGAAAGGAATCTTTTCTTTTCTTTTCCTTTCCTTTCCTTTCAGTTTATCTCCCATTAAAAGCAAAGAATCTAGCATAACTTAGCTCTCCCTCTCAAGTCTCAACTCTCAAGCATACGCTGTAAACCTTCTAGAGTAAAGTTGTGTAAAGTTCTATTATTAGTAACGTAACTATTAAACCTGTCTTAAGGTTCAAAACTGTAGTTTAAAGCAAGTCAATATACCAGGTCTGACCGGAGTTATCTGGAGCAAGAACAGCAACAGCATTAATATTTCCGATGATTACTGCAGGTGAGTAACGGCTTCCTGCTTCTTCTTATTTTGTCATGGTGTATCAAATGTAGCTTCTTGTGTTTTGGTCGAGATAATTAGTAATTGGTAAATACCATGTATTAGGATGTTTCAGAATCAGTTGATAGAAAATTTTAAATGATCATATAATTTATTTCTAGATATATAAGTTCTAAAGACTAAAGTGAAAGATTGATATATTGAAAACAATAACAACACGAGATTTAGCTTAGTCGTTTATTGTAACATCCCCAATCCTACATCAAGAGGATGTGTGGATAAAAAATGATATATATATGTAGAGACTTAATCCCAAATTAGTGAAACATTTTTTGTGGGACAAAACCGTGAGAACCTCGGGTCAAAGCGGACAATACCTCGCAGGTTGGGTGTGGGTCTCTACAAATGGTATCAGAGCGGTCACCAGTCCGCAGTCGTGGAGCTGTGAGAGTCACTAAGTGCTACACGATGGTCTGGTGTAATCTTGGTCCTGTGGATGGACTCGACTGGACAGGAACGTCAAGCATTAAAAGTGAGAAGATTGTAACGCCCCCAATCTCACATCAGGAAGATGTGTGGATAAGAAATGATATATATATATATATATATGTAGAGACTTAATCTCAAATTAGTGAAACGCTTTTTGTGGGATAAAATTGTGAGACCTTCGGGTCAAAACGGACAATACCTTGCAAGTTGGGTACGGATCTCTACATTTATTCATAAAGTTACTTTTAAAAGTAATATTTAATAAGTTTTAAACTCAAATCCGAACACTTAGAACCACTTCCCTTATTCTTAGTCTGCAGCCTTTTTATTTAAAAAAAAATAAAAAACATTAACTTCTTTTTTTCAGAAATGATTACTTTAGTTTCATACTAATTATTGTTTAACGAAGTTCGTAATCAGTTGTTATACTATCTGTTTATGCATATTCAGTTATTACTGGCTTGATTATGGTGAGGAAGAGGAGAGGGGCAATGGAGGTATTTACTCCAAAGCTAATGAAGTTGTGGAAGGATTGGGAGCTTCGAGCAATGGTTGTAGCTAGCCTTTTGGTCCAAATAATTCTCATTCTCTTAGGCAGCCGCAGAAAGTACATTCCAAAGATGAAGATTAGAGCCATTGTTTGGTGTTCCTACCTGTTGGCTGACTCTGTAGCAACTATTGCCCTTGGAATACTGACAAATAACCTGGGAGATATATATGATGAGGGAGGTGTTATTGACTTGAATACAAAACTTACAGCATTTTGGGCACCTTTTTTACTGCTGCACTTGGGTGGCCCTGACACAATTACAGCTTATGCCTTGGAAGACAATCAGTTGTGGTTAAGGCACTTTTTTGGACTAATGATACAGACTGTTGTGACAGTGTACATCTTCCTAATGGCCTGGTCTGATGGCCGTCTTTCATTGCTAAGCATTCCAATGATTGTGGTCGGATCAATCAAGTATGGAGAGAGGACATGGACTCTTTGGAAAGCAAGCAGTGATGAACTTCGAGACTCAATGCTTACTTCTCCAGATCCTGGTCCTAACTATTCCAAGTTGATGAATGAATACAGGCTGAAACAAGCTGAAGGTTTCTTTATGGAAATTGAAGAGGTGAAGGATGTTCAGGAAGGATTGGATGTAACTGCCCCCGAAGAAACCACTCCTGACGGGAAGAATATAATTAAAGCCCATGCGTTGTTTCAAACATTCAAATGCCTGTTTGCAGATCTCATTCTAAGCTTTAAAGATAGGGAGAAGAGCCAATCTTTGATCCAGAAAATGTCTGGTAAAGATGCTTTCGATGTGGTGGCCATTGAGCTAGGATTCATGTATGACATGTTGTACACCAAAGCAACAGTGGTTTATACCCGTTGGGGTATTGCTCGCCGCATAACTACTTTTTGCCTCACTTGCCTGGTGTTGGTGGCTTTCTCTTTGGAGGATATGAAGAAGTATAAAAGGGTTGACATATTCATAACTTTCCTTCTCCTTGTTGTAGCTATTGTTCTGGAGATATATGCAGCACTCGTACTACTTTTCTCGGATCAGACCAATCATTGGTTGATTAAGCATAACAAAACCACAGTTCTAAAAATCATCAACTCTTTAGCACCACTTTTAAAACTAAAAAGGTGGTCTAGTCGCATGCCACAGTTGAGTCTACTTAGCATTTGCCTCAAGGAAAGGGCTTATCTTAAACTACTGGAAAAGGTAGTGGAAAAATGCCCACCTGAAACTTATGTAGAAGTAGATGATCATCTCAAAAAGCTGATCTTCGAGCATGTCAAAGAGAAATTTAATCAGTTTATGAAGAAACAAGATAGTGCTAATTTTAGAGACTTGTGCAGCCAAAGGGGAAACAACATACTCGAAAGGCATAAGCAACGGACTGGACTTAGCCTTGAGTGGAGTATTAATGTTGAATTCGACCAGAGTATCCTTATTTGGCACATTGCCACAGAACTCTGCTACTTCTCAGACATGCCTCTGAGTACCATTTCAAGTGATGTTCAATCATCCCGTGAAGTGAGCCAATGCATCTCAAATTATATGTTGTGCCTACTAGTCATTTATCCTTTCTTGTTGCCAATTGGGATTGGACTCATCAGGTTCCGAGACACTCAGGCTGAGGTCAAGAGGTTTTTCAAAGAGAGATTAGAGAAAAAGAATCCAATTAACTGCAGCAATATGTTGCTTCAAGTCAGTGACAGTGAGTTGGAAGAGGAAGAAGACAAAACGAACAGAATTACGTGCTGCAAGTCATTGCTCCAAGCCATGAAGTTAGGAAAAGAAAAACATCTGCCCTCTTCAAGTAGAGACAGAAAGAAAAGGCTACAATTGTGCGATTCCCGTAAAGAACCAATGATGTACCAAATGATTACAGCTTGCAATATGTTGCTTCAAGAAACCGTTGATGTTCTACCAGGGAAAGTGAAAGGGGATAGAAGCAAGTCTGTGTTGTTCGATGCCTGCAGGCTGGCATCGGCACTGAATGGTGTGACAGACAAAAAGGTCAGATGGGATATGATTAGAGATGTTTGGTTGGAGATGCTGGCTTACGCTGCTAGTCATAGCAGAGGGAGTCAGCATTGTCAACAGCTGAGACGAGGGGGAGAGCTTCTAACTCATGTTTGGCTTCTTATGGCACATTTTGGAATGAGACAGCAGTTCCAAATATCTAGAGGTTATGCAAGAGCTTTGCTGACTGCAAAATAACCCCACATCAGTCTCAACATATGCATAATATTTTCATTATTCGTTTCATTTCGGAACACAGTAAATTCTTTGGTGTTGGTTCTCTTTCTTTCTTGTTATTTTATTTGTTACTACAACAAATTATGAGTCCATTGCATTTTTTTTATTTGACTTGTTGCATTATTATATTAACCATCAATTTTCCATGAGAACAGTTTTAAATTTTTTTAATCATAAACTTAAGTCTCCCCAAATATAAGTTTAATTTAATTTGTTTGTTAATTTTTATAAAGATATAATTTAATATATACTAAAATTGTTTAATTATTCTTTTAATTTTAACTTCAAACTGAGGCACAGATGGTGCAAATAGCATGCAGCAAGAATGAAGTTTCATGTCTCAATAGGTATATGTTGTTAGTAAAAGAACAGGGTGAGGAAAAAGGGATGATTAGGCAACTTCTGTCAATGAATGTACGCAGGAAACGGAGCTCACCTTTGATCTTTCCGGCACGTGAAAGCTTGTAAGGACCTTTTGAATCCCTTTCTTCACACAATTCTAGTGGCATGTTCATGAAAACCTGTAGATGTAAAGAAAAAAGCATTTCAACTAAGAAAAAATGATAAAAGGAATCAAGATGAGAACCATCCAAAAGGAGCCTTGCCTCTATAAAATTAGAATCCAGCAACATTGTATGGCATGCATCTTGGTCTTTCTTATTTGGAGATATTAGACTGGCCACTTCACCTAAATTAGATGCAAAAAAGGATGTAAACAACTCAAACAAAATCATACAAGAACCATGCCAAAAGCAAACCTTGGGCTCCACCAGAACAAAAGCTGAGCTCTAGTAAACCATCTAGTCATAACATTCACATATGCACATTTATCTAAGTAATGGTAATGGTTCAATGTTTAATACTTAGTATGTCCAAACTTCATGTTGTCCTTGTTTACTCATTAAAATTAAAATATATGCAGTGATAAGTTCATACGGCTTGCCAAACTTGCACCAAGATTTGCTACAACACATTAAATGTCTTGTTTGCCAAACCAAAATTTTAACTCGTAGACTTCTATTTCTCAAGAACATACTTACCAACCCAGCGTATATTTTCTGTTCGATCTTCTGCCTTGAAATGGAGATCCTTGCTTAACCCATGCTGAAGATTGTCTCCATCAGGTATGTAGGATAACCTTCCCCTTGTATACAGTTCCCTACTTAGTGAACATGCAAGTGTGCTTTTACCTGAACATTCAAACAAAAAGCTCAAGAAAAAAAAAACATATTGTAACAGTACAGCCCACTTTGATTGTTTGAGCAGCATTTAAATAAATAAATAAATAAAAATTTGAGTGCATGTGTGTGTGTGTATAGTCTTTCCAGTTGTGAAATTTGCAAATAGCAAACAGTAAGAATGCAGTTTCCTTGACAGCAAGTTCTAGTCCATGGATAATCCTATCAGAGAAGAATTTTTCAAATTTAAAGTCATGAGGAGGCAATCACTGCTGCAAAACGTTTTAATTTTCCAGGAAGGATAGTTATAATTCAGAAGAAAACTTAGAAGCGCATAGGAAAATCCATTTGACTATAAACCTGATACACTGAGACCTGTGATCCATAAAAAACAAGTCTTTGGTTAATGAGCCTCTGCCTTTCAAGCTTCCCAACTGGTTATTCTTGCCAAAATATATTCGTTGAATTTCCCACAGTTGACATCTTAAGTTCTGCAGTCTTTGAGTCTCTATCAACATAAGTAAACACAGAATTGGTAACAGCAATCCGATAACCACAAATTGAACAACAGTAAGCCACTTGAAAATAGTACGAGAGGTTTAAAGTGCCCCTTGTATACAGTAGTTACAGAAGCCCAAAATCCAAAATTTTCTAATTTTTTTGAAAATCAAGCTGCTAAATGATACACAACAGCTGATTTTCTTTTTCTTTTTTTTATTTTATTTCATTCATTTTTCTAGTCTGTATTTGGCACCTCCAAAATACGTTTCAAATTGATAAAAGCTTGTTTATTTCTTTTGTTATTTAAATAAAACTAGCCATGACCCTTAAATATTTCAAAGACTTTGAACAAATTAAAAATCAAATTTGTATGAGGTTGAATTTGTTATATTCATATGCTTTTTCTAGTTGTGAAGTTGTATGAATTATGCGAACTGAGTTGGTTGAGTTAATAAAATCAAATACTTTGCTTATAATGCTCGGATTAGATTTTCATTGCTATTGATGAGTGATCTATAAATCCAATATAAATTCTCTTTAAAGTGTGCGATATACCCTGACCTTGCAATGAGATAACCTCCCTCAGCTAAACTTTTTTGTACCGAAAATAAAGAAGTTGTATGAATTGTATTGAGCTTATGATGGTTACCATGGTTGAGTAACCTTTGGTTGCATAAATAAATCGACACGAAGCGTATCTTAATCTAAAGAAGAGGGATTATGTTCTGAATCTTTGGATAGAGTTAGAGCATATTGATCTCTTTACCAATTAGTTGACAATGTTACAGAAGCTCAGTTTGTGTTTCAAGACTTTTTTGTTTTTTTATCATTTTCCTTGATAAGAAGTGTCTATGAAGTTAATTTTGGTATGCTTAATGTATTTTCATGTTTTGATGTCAGTATCATCCTGATGTTAACAAGGACTTACGAGCCGGTGAGGTGTTCAGGAGCATCCTCATGCTTATGAAGTGAGAATTCCCTAAATCCTTGTTTCCACATGATTCACTAATTGCTGATGTTTAGTGTTACTGTAAATTTGAAAGACCTTTACTTTAAACTGGCAAATCTTTGTAGTGTTGGGGTAGATGCAGGGTGACATTGGTGCTTTGCAATTCTTTCATGGGATGGGTATAATAGCATTCAAAACAATGAATAACTGGGACTCTGTTACTTACTATAGTAGAAATTTTGGGATGAGAAGCACGACAGTGTGGGATTTTCAAGCATGAATGCGGCTACTCTATGCCAAATTGCTAAAGGGTACGATAGCATTCAGAGCTGCGTTCCCAGGATTCAACTTTGGGACAACAATACTGAAAATGAACTTGTTAGTAGGGAAGGAGAGCTGTGGAACGCTAATCCTAAGTCTTCCTTTTGAGTTCCTAAGTATGACCAAAAGGTTACTTTTAACTTCTTGTCATGAAATTATGCTTCTGCTTGGGCTGTTATTATCGATGGGAAATTCCTATACAGTTATGATTCGCCTTTTATGAACTTCCGAAATCTGATCCTTTAGCTTCCCTCCTCTCTATTTTCACACTTCCTTTTCCTTTTGGTTTATGTTTTTGGAAATCAATGACAGACATTCTTGAGTATTTTCCCTTCTGAAACAAGGATTAAGTATGATCGTGCACTTACATTTCAAGAAGATGTTGGGAGGTCATATCAAGGAAAATGGAACTATAGTCCTGAGTTTGAAGATGGGGTTAGGACAGACAGGTGGGCTGAAGTCAAATGAAAAATGCAAGAAGAGAGATTTCGAGAACGATATAATGTGAATGAGGAGCATTCTTCCTTTTATGATGAAAACTGATGATGAGGTAGAAGAAGAAAACCTGCAGACCTTTGGGTCTTGTTTTTCTCTCACCTTCAGTAGCCTAATGGCTCTACTGGATAAGAATTTGGATGCAGGATATAAGATTGGTTATGCAATTGCATGGATCTCCATTGCAAGTTGGGTTTGTGGGAAAAAAAGCAGCAGTGTAGTTGTTCTGGTGGTTGTAGCCATGAGGGTTGGCTCCAATCTTGCAAGATATGCTCCACTCCCTCAAAGGTGCCGTCCTCGCACTATTTTACATGTCAATCAAGCTTCAAGTTGATTTAAATTAATGCTTCCATAAATCATGTGCAACATGTATTGGTCATTTGGTCTTGTACATATGTTTCAAGAATGGGGATTCTATTTCCTCCACCTTTTTTTCCTTTCAGTTTCTGTATTTGGTAATTGAACAAAAATCTAATTCCAGGGGCACTGCCATTAGCAACCCCCAAGCTGAATTTAATGAAGATGAATTTTCAAGCTCTCTTCATCAATTCAAGAAACAATTTTACTGCAAAGATTCTACTTGGATAATTTGCATTCAAGCATGGTATAGATCTAGAATAAGTGAAAATTTTCATCTGTTTAGATTACAGTTTCCTCTATCTGAAAAGAACAAGAAAGAATTCACATGTTCATGTGGTACAGTAATCGAAACAAGAAAAGAAGAAGAAAAAAACTAGTTTGACATACTTGTACAATATGTCAAAACTGTTAACAGCTCTTGACTTTTTCATCATTCTTCAGTTCCTTCAGATTCCTCCACAAATACCTCCCACTAGCCATGTCAACAAATACCCAGAATCCATTCTGAGCCATCTGAAATTCAAGAACATGAAAGTTGGAAACAAAAGAAAATAACCCAATCAAGAAAAGCAAAAACAGAAACCAAGGAACAGGAGAAACATACCCTTTTGAAACTGAATTCTTGTTTATCTTTGGCAACCATCTTCTCGGAATCCTCAGAAACTATGTCGTCGTCGATCTCAGATGATGAACGTGCCGTCCTCCACGCTACATACCCTGCTAAAACTGCTGAGAAAAACACCAACAAGAACCTCATAGGACACATTTCTCTTATCTTTTTTTTCTTTTAAAGCCAATGGAAAACAAATCTCTGCCTTGGGTTTCCTTCAATGAGAGAGACAAAGAATTGAAGATTCTAACAACCCCAAACTTCAACGACAGATTGGATTTGTTAAGAAATGGGAGGAATTTTCATTTTGAAGGCACCCTATGCATCATGTCAAAAACCATATACAATATGGAAACCGCGTTGTTGGAGATTGAAGCTTTCTCCTTAATGGTTTTACACAGTCAATGATGGCTCACCAATTACATCATTAATTGGTCAACATTTTACCTTTTCAGTTTGTAGGAAAATAAAATATTAATTGATAGCTTGGGAGTTTCTGATAAAACCCAAAAAATGATTAAAAAAAAAAGAGCCCCACTTTATCAGATCCTACTATCATAATCTTCAAAGAGAACCTTTTGTTTTTATGAACATGGTTTGAGTGGCCAAATTGTGCTTATCCCTCCAATTATGAATTTGTCTCCTCCGCAAAGCTAGGTCTTAGTCAAAAACTTTGCTAGACAGGACAAAATCCAAAGGTTTGGGAGTTTGACTTATTGCCTTGTTGGATAATAGGATTATAGGAACCCAATTCAATTAGGTTGGGCTCACCTGTGTCAAACCCAGTGCATTAGTCTATAGGGCTTCACCCTTTCGTCTAGGGCTGGACCTACATTTTTAGGCTTAAAAATACATGTCCAATAAAGTTGTCAAACTTGGAAACTTCAGTTTTTTTTTTAAGTTTAGAAACTTTAATTAAACTCATTGTGATTTGAATTTTACTGTTTAAATTATTAAGATGATACATACTCTTTAAGATTTAATAAAAAAATAAAAATTTTTGTTATCTTCACTCACTTATGAAATTAAAAATTTTAATGTATAAAAAATGAATTGCTATAAAAATATCTTTGTTCTGATCATAATGATTTTTGGCCAAAACAGTATTCAGCTCAAACAAAGCTAATTAATTTCATTTGATATTTAGGTGCAACAAAGAAAAGGATAATTATTTTTATGAAGTGATGAATCACATCTAAAAAACTGAGTACTGCCTCTTTAATGTGATTTAAAATGAATGGAACCTAAGTGCTATTACAAGTAAGATGGAATCTTCCCATGGTGAAGGTGGGTGAAGAAATGAAGAATGTTTATAGATTCTGAAGGGATTTTCAACTTGTTTCTTTTCTTATTACATCATGTTTGGGGCCCCATTGTTTTTACCAAATGTTTCTTCCAGTTAATGCCAGCACTACTAATAGCCCACCAAGGCCTAAACAATTTTTCGAACACTGCAAAATTTGTTGAAAAAGACTTGCATTTTCTCTAAAAAATTTTCGAAGAAATGATTCATATGAAAATGGAGTTCGTATTGGATTCATGTACTAATTTTTGTATATCCACTTCAGATTATTCTTCTTTTTGTATCTGTAAGCAGTTTTTTCCTTTCACTTTCTTTCAAAATAACTTGATTGAATGTGAGCTTTGTAAGAAAGAGAAAGAAGGTTCTGTCTGGTGTAAGGAAAGCGTCATATTCTTATGGTAACATGTTCCAACGTTCATTGATAGTCACATAAATCCAACTGACTTCAGAATTTTGGGATTTAAAGTTGAGCAAACCCGATTTTTTATGATGATAAGCTCTTTTGGTGGATTCATCTTTGGTTTTTTTGCTTATTTATTCTTGGATTCAGAGTCAAACTTAGGCTTCACTTTCACTCCTTTGTTTGAAGCAGATACCAAATTTCAAGTAGTACTGAATTTCAGTAACTCATGTAAGAGCTGTGATAGCTTCTGACCATTGTTTGTTTTTTAATCTTCTCTTTATTGTATCTTATTTTCTGAAATATAGACATTTTAATTGCTGATGCTGCCCTTAGAAAGTGAAGTTTTAATTTTTCCCCCTTCTTTTTTTGTTTTTTTTTTGGTAATTTCATTGTTTTGTCTATTTGGGGTACTTTACTATAAATACCAATGGAGCTACAACAATGGCTGGGGCTAGTGCCTAGGATATTTTTAAGATACTTTTGACATTGATATTTTCCTCTTGAGCTTATCTCTTCAGTTCCTACCAATTTTCCCACATGAATCACATGATTGTACTATGAATCAGTACTCAAATACAGATAAGATTTCCAGCTATCCTATCATTCCACATCCCTACTTCAATATAGTATGTTTGTTTCTCTTATTATGATTTAATGAATTATAAATGTTCATTATTCATGAAATGATAGTCCATATGAAGCTGAAATTACCAAGATTGGGTGCCTTTTCTTTTTCTTTTTCTTGCCCCAAAAGGGAGAATTCTAGGCCAAATGGTTTAAATTGATTCAACCATTTAAGAAAGAAATCTTAATCTTCTGACTTCTGAGTCTCTTGTTTCACTCTTTTTCTCTTTAATGTGTTAAACTGCTAAGAACAACAATGAATGCATTAGTGGCAACCAACAGAAACTTCAAGCTGGCAGCCCGGATTCTTGGTTTGGACTCTAAAGCTTGAAAAGAGTTTGCTCATTCCTTTCAGGGAAATTAAGGTGATTAAAATTTCTCTATTTTCTCCATTTTTCTCTCATTTTCTTGTGATTAATGTTCAGACATGTCAAGAGGACTTAGAGATAATGTTATGCTGGTCTATGGTAGATTCACTCTATTCTAACATATCTTGCAGGTTGAATGCACCATACATAAAGATGATGGCAGTTTGGCTTCTTTCGTTGGGTTCAGGGTTCAGCATGACAATGCAAGAGGCCCCATGAAAGGAGGAATCAGATATCACCCTGAGGTTGTTTACATCCTGCTGTTTGAAATCTTCTGAAATTTGTTCAACAGTAGAAAGTTAATATCCTACTAGAAATCACTGAATTAAGATTCTATCTTATTACTAACTTCTTTGGGTTCTGATGACGCTTTGAATAATCTAGGTTGACCCTGATGAAGTGAATGCTTTAGCACAACTAATGACATGGAAGACTGCAGTTGCCAATATCCCATATGGTGGTGCTAAAGGGGGGATAGGATGTAATCCAGGAGATTTAAGCATATCTGAACTAGAACGGCTTACTCGACGTTTCACCCAGAAGATACATGACCTGATTGGAATTCACACAGATGTTCCAGCACCTGACATGGGAACTGGTCCACAGGCACAATTTGCCGCAAATATCCTAGTTCTACCAATTTTCCTTTCACTTCTGTAGTTTTCCTTTCCTGCTGGTACTTATAGATGGTATTTTCTGTTGGTTAAACAGACAATGGCATGGATACTAGATGAGTACTCCAAATTCCATGGCTATTCACCTGCTGTAGTGACTGGAAAACCAACCGTAAGTATATATATCCAAAGAGAGAGAGCATTCCACTTTACATTGTATTTCTGCAAATTGAGGCTATTAACACTGATTATTATTACCCTTTTTCCTTTAGGATCTTGGAGGATCACTTGGCAGAGATGCCGCTACTGGCAGAGGGGTGCTCTTTGCAACTGAGGCCCTTCTTAATGACCATGGCAAGACCATCTCTGGACAAAAATTTGTAATACAGGTGCACCTTTGTTGCCAAAAAAAATTAAATTTTGAGACACATACTCTTAAGATAATTCCATTTCAGGGCTTTGGAAATGTTGGTTCTTGGGCTGCTAAACTCATCCATGAAAAGGGTGGGAAGATTGTTGCTGTAAGTGATATCACAGAAGCCATAAAGAACAGCAAAGGAATTGATATTCCCAGCCTACTCAAGCATGTCAAAGAAAACAAGGGTGTCAAAGGATTCCAAGGAGGGGATTCTATAGATTCCAAGTCAATTCTGGTTGAAGACTGTGACATACTCATCCCAGCGGCACTTGGCGGAGTCATCAACAGGTTTCTTTTTCTGCAACAAGAATTTTTTCTGTTTCATTGCTGCTGATTAAAACTAAATATTCTCCTTTGATCTTAATGAAGGGAAAACGCAAATGAGATTAAAGCCAAGTTTATCATTGAAGCTGCTAACCATCCGATTGATCCAGAGGCTGATGAGGTTAGTGCTTGTGTCACGGGTCGAGACTCAAGCTCCGAACCCGTGCGGCTCCGGGACCCGGGCATTCACCCTTCCGGCGTCTCAGATCAGCCTTCCGCCACGGTTCACACCCTTGTGAGGTATTGTCCGCTCTGGCCCCCCTGGCCTCACGGTTTTATCCTACAAAAGGCGCCTCACAAGGCGGAGATGGTGTGAACCCTTTTATACCCCAGGGACCTTCCTATTATGTTCGATGTGGGATTCAGGACTCCCCCTTAGGTCTTTTATACCCCAGGGACCTTCCTATTATGTTCGATGTGGGATTCAGGACTCCCCCTTAGGTCCGTGACATTCTCCCGCACCCAACCTCGTGACGCCCTCGTCACGGAGGCCGGCCACCCTGCCTACCTCCCTCGAGGCGCTCGGCGTGGATCGAACGGTTTAGGGCTGGCTCTGATACCACTTGTCACGGGTCGAGACTCAAGCTCCGAACCCGTGCGGCTCCGGGACCCGGGCATTCACCCTTCCGGCGTCCCAGATCAGCCTTCCGCCACGGTTCACACCCTTGTGAGGTATTGTCCGCTCTGGCCCCCCTGGCCTCACGGTTTTGTCCTACAAAAGGCGCCTCACAAGGCGGAGATGGTGTGAACCCTTTTATACCCCAGGGACCTTCCTATTATGTTCGATGTGGGATTCAGGACTCCCCCTTAGGTCCGTGACACTTGTCTGTAGCTTGCAACTACAATTAACTAAAAAAAATGAGCAACAATTTCATTTCTCTCTTCTTGGCCTGCAGATCTTGTCAAAGAAAGGGGTGGTTATCCTTCCAGACATATACGCCAACTCAGGAGGAGTAACTGTTAGTTAATTCGAGTGGGTGCAGGTATCATATTTGAACCTCTTCTTCTTATATTACAGGCTAAATCTCCATCGAAAATGATCCCAGTTTGTCATTTATAGTTTTCATATTTCAGAATTCTCATTTCCATTATCATCCTTAAGCGATTCTTTTTTTTGACATGCCCAAGAATTTGTTTCGGACAGACAAAGATTTGTTGTCTGAAGCTAGCAGATTTCTTTACATTTATATGTACCAAGCACCAGAGAGTAATGCTAATTGGTCATTTTCCATTGCAGAACATTCAAGGCTTCATGTGGGATGAGGAGAAGGTGAACAATGAGCTAAAGACATACATTGACCAAAGGATTCAAAGACGTAAAAGAGATGTGTAAAACGCACAACTGTGACCTCCGTATGGGAGCCTTTACTCTTGGGGTTAACCGTGTTGCGCGGGCTACTGTTCTTAGAGGTTGGGAAG